GTCAGTGTGGAAGAAAACAGTACGTTTGAAATGGCCTCCTGAGTGTTCACTTCTCAACTTTTAACAACACCAGTGCAAGTTACAAGCACGATTTTGCTGGTTTTAAGAAGCTTGATGAAAAGATTGGGAAAATTGAGTTCCTTGTTTATAAACTTTTCCCATCAAGTCCAGGCCTGAATGGCAGCCTTGCAGTCCAGAGGGACACGCTTCACAGGCCTGTGGAAAAGGATGAGAGAAATCCCAACATTAGTCTACTGGTAGACAACAACCAGCCCAGGGACTGCAGCGCCTCCTTGAAAGCTAGCCTTAGAACACTTTACTTTCTTTTACAAACTGATTTAATATGCAAATACTGTCTTGAGTGGAATAACTTCATTGAGTTTAAACGAAATCCTGATAGAAAAGAAATAGTAACAACAAAGGTCTAGAGGCAAACAACAGACTCCCTTCCCACTGCTCCTCCCCTCAGAAGGGGCGCTCCTGCGTTCTCATGTTTCTAACCTGTGACACTGTCCTTCACAGGCTATACAGATTAACAAGAATTACTTAATATAATTTTTATTAATTCTTTGAGAATTTATTAGACTATATTTTGACCAAATTCATTTCCCCGCTGTTCCTCCTAACTCCTCCCAGATCCACTCCCAACTCCCTAACAAGAATTCTCTATTCGCCACCAGAGAGACTCTTTCTTTGAACCATACAGACTTTGACTATTTGTTTCCTATCCCATCATCTTGTCTCCATCACACACCAGAAGAACTAACAAAAGACCAGCCAGAGATAAAGACTATAGAGGAATTTAGAAACATCTTTCCTCTTCTAGAAGCAAATTATGCTGCCTTTGTTGCTGTTTATTAAACAGGAAGTAGTGTAAGTGCACCCGAATATTTGGGGTATCATTATCATCATCATCAAGCCTCCTTCTTATTAGCTCACTACAGTTAATCAGAAGCAAAAGAAAGCTGACTATTGTTTTTAGCAAAGGGGTGGGAGATGGTGATGTTGGACAGTCCTGCCTGAAAACCCTAAAAATATAATGAGTGACAAATCAATGCACCTGGCAGAAGATCTGGTATGTTACAATGTTTTCCAATTTATTTTTAAACTTAAAAATAACTAATTGGTATTTTGTGACTTAGTAAGTTAGTCAAAGATTACAGAATTTTGGTAATTTCTGCCTCTCTTATTTTTTTATTTCCAAATTGCAACAATCTTGACCTAAAACTATTTGCTTACGACAGGGACTCTGTAAAAAGCCTGGGAAAATTGTACCAGTTTTTTTTTTGGGGGGGGGATTATAAAGAACTGGAATAAAGTTAGATTCTACAGAAAAGGATACATTTTAATCACTTTGTAGCAGGACCCTTTTTCTTATGTTTTCAGAAGATCTTAGTCCGATTTTGATATCTGGCCTCTTTACATCAAGGACTATTCTGGTTCTTGAGATATATCATCCAGACCAAATCAAACACTTAGATTCAGCTTTCACTAAGATTTAAGGGGGATGGGTAGGTCAAATGCTGCCTTTCCAAAGTTGGGAGGGGGAGGGACACTTAATTATCAGCTCTAAACAAAAAAAAAAGGGTGGTATTATAGGATTTTTCAATGAATCTATAAGAAAGTTTCTACATTACTATTAACAAAACAACTCTCCTTATATTCTTTTTAGTAAAGTAATAATTTTAAGTACTGAAACTTTTTAGAAGCCTTTAAATTTTCAGTTTGTGCCCTGTATTACTTTTCCTCTTATTTTAAATATTTGGGAATAAAATACTAATAAATTTGACAATAAGTAACTGCTCCTAAATACATTCTGTATTTTAAGACAATCTATCCTATGGAGAGATTACTAAACATTAACTGTTGTTTTGGTTATATTAAATGGAAAATAGTAACAAATATTGGTGTATCAAGACTTGGATTTGTAAAACATATCTTCAGTCTTTAGGATTATTAGCAGGATCAGGTCTATCTCTAAAGGAGGGCATAATTGATGCCTTCCTATTTTTGAGTTACTCAGATGACACTTTCAAACACTTGCCCCCAAAAGGCAACTCTCAAAAACATCAGTTAAAAGCATACTATTTGGATGTTAACTACATGAAATACATATAGCCCTTAGTTAATATTTTTCCTTTTAGCGGAGCTTGGTGGTGCAAATCTTTGATCCCAGTACTCCGGGAGGCAGAGACAGGTGGATCTCTGTGACTTCAAGGTCAGCCTGGTCTACATAGCAAACTCCAGGTCAACTGAGGCTACAGGGAGACCCTGTCTCAAAAAGACCAAAATTATATAAATAAATAAATAAATAAATAAAAATATTGTTTTTTTCCTTTTTAAATTTAGTGTCACTGAAAAGAAAATTTATGAGGGCAAATGGAAGTTTTGGGGTTTTTTTGTTGTTTGTTTTGTTCTGTTTTTAACGTTAAGAAAAGGGTGGAGGAAGGGAAGAAGAGAAGAGGGAGGGACACGCGACAAACATAAAACAAACTGGTGGCATTCAGTCAAGAAGGTAGGTAAAGCTCCAGAGCCGGTGAGTTGTACGAGTCAGCTGGGCGCCCCAAAGCTTTCAGTATTCAAGAGGTTTCTGGCTTTTTTGCTTTTTTCTTAAAACCTGGCCCTCTTCGGGACAAGTGCAGCTGGAGGATGGGGGGTTCGCTGTTGGGAAAAGGCAGGTAGGAAGGGAACCTGATCCTCCCCAAAAGGCAGCAATTAAAGTCTTAACCTCGACCCATCTGTCGTAAGACAGGGACACCCTCCCTCGGTCCCCGCCTTTCCTTTAGCAAACCCGGTCCCCTGCCCTTTGTCTGAGCAGGGTAAAGAACGGCCAGAAGAGCAAATCCATTCGAACATTTCCAGTTTAGGGAAACCCAAGCCAAAAGGGCTCTGAAACGCCTTCCGTGTTCTGTGTTGCCCTCTTCTCCTCCTCTCTCTCCTGCTTCTCCTCTGAGCCCTGCTGCCTGCCCTCGACTCCTGTCCTTCTCTTTGGCAAGGGTCTTTCCATCCAGAACCCACGCAGCTACCCGAAAAGGAGCGATTCCCAGGCCTAACCTCCAAGACCGGATCTTTCCACCACCTGGCCCCTTGGCCGCCCTCAACTTCAAATAAGACCTGCCGGCCCCCATTTTCCAGCAAGTATTTCCCACCTCCCAATCTGCTGCCCCACCTCGCTGTCAGGTCTCAACAACCGCTTTCCCAGTCAAGCTCTCTATGTTTCCTCCCCACTGGGCTGTTGGGGCACTGGCTGAATTGACTTTCTCAAAGCCAGTGTGAGGTGGAGAAGCCTGGGCCAGTGGACTGGCGTGGTCTGGAAACTGGGTATGAAGCCGGGAATACTTGGAAGCCGATTTCCTCCGTTTGAGGCCCAACTTCTCATTTTTGGGTAACATTGGTCATCTACTCAACAATTCCAGGGTACCGCTTTCATCCAGCTCCCACCGAGGACCCTTTCCAGGGTTCTTACGGCAGGACAACACATCACGCTTTTGTCCAAATACCCGGCATCCATTCCACACTCACCGGAGTTCACTCCTCAGGCGGATGTGGATGCTTCTTACCGCAGCCTTCTGGCGGAACCGCTCTAGACTCTCAGCTCTGAGCTCGCCCTAGGTCACTAGGCTTCAGAGACCCGACGTTTTCGAACTACCTGCAGTTCCTTGAGCTAGCCCCAGGGCTCTGCTGCTCGCGACCACAGGCTAGCTACCCGCTGTACCGGGAGAGGTGTGCGCAGCTGCTCTCCGCGCGCTGCCGTCCGAGCGGCGGGAACCCGTGCAGCAGCAGCCTCAGCCTCTGGCAGTTTCTCGGACAGAAGCCTCCTAAAAGTTCCCATCGCTAAGCCGCAGGAGTTTGGGCCCAGGCGCCACACTAGGGTGGCATCGTACTGGAGAGGGGCGTTGCCAGGGCATGGTCTCCAAGCGCTCTTTGCGGGGACGCAATTGTAGCTCAGGTCTACTCCCCTACGGGCAGGCGGCTTAGGTCGCCGCAGCGCCTCTGGACGGTCGCCGGCACTGCTCCTGAGCTTCCGGACACCCGCGGTGGGTGAGGGGGGATCCGCGAGTTCTAGTTCCCCTCTCGGCTCCACATTTAAGATGCTCTGCTAGGAAAGAGCTCTGAGCGGAAGTTCTTTAAAGAAATGTTTTTTGTTGTTGTTGTTGTTGTTTTTTTTTGGTTTTGGTTTTGCTTTTGTTTATCGAGCTTTCAATGGAAACCCTAGGAAGCACACGCTAGCATGTGTTTGTGTGAGAGTACGAGCCGAGTCAAGGTTTTTTGTGGTGTGACACCTGCTTATTCCTTGCAACTCCTCAACTTTGTGGATGGGAGTGCCTCTTTCCCAAGGCTATGGCCCTGGGCATCGCTTTTACAAAACCACAAACACACAAGCCTCCCAAGGCCTTTAATTCTCTAGGGCATTATGGGAGGCCAGTTACCTGCTGGTGTCTTCCAAACGGTCCAGAGGCGGTTCGGGCGGTAGAGACTTGGGGATGCAGAGAGTGTACAGCTCTCGATCCTGGAGACAGAACCAGAGCTGTGTAGAATGCAGCATGGTCCGATCTGGGCTCAACAGAACCAAGCAAGGAAACCTCGGATTTTGCAGTCAGAGGCGTCCTGGTCAAGGCTCTCCCGAGTCCGGCACTTGATAAATATAGCCTGGCATTTGGCCCTGAATTAGAATCTGTTTCCTTATTTAGCCCTCGCACAATGATTTTAGATGATGTCACTTAGAGCTAAACGAGAAAATTGATCTCAGATTTGCTTGGCCTCTAAAGCCTCGTTAAACAGATTGAGTATTAAAAAGACAGAGGAAGCAAGGGGGAGGGGTGGCTGAAGGGAAGAGAAGTGTGTGCAGGAGTGTGTGCTCCGAGAGGAGGGCGCGCAGCGGAGAGCGCCCCCGCCTCTTCTGGGCGGGGGAACCTCGTTCTCCAATGAAAAGTAGTCACTGACTACAGAGAAAAAAAAGTTTTCCTGTTGACTGTTGGAAGCGAATTGAGCAATTATCTAGTTTACCTTCTCCTCTTGGAAGTTAACGATTGGCGAGATCTTGGCTGCGTTATTGACACAACACTTTCTATTGATAGAAATAAGTAGTGATTGTCCCCGAGTCATTGGTGCGCCAAGAACTCTGCGATGGGCTGGCAGGAGTCCATTGGGCTGGGCAGGCAGGTTCGGCTGGTGATGCTGGGGAGGAGGAGGAGGAGGCTGCTGGTGGTGATGGTGCCTGTCCTCTCCGCAGGTCTGTGACAAGCAGGGGACAAGGCAGCGACCGCGCAGCCCAGCCCTGGCGGACCGACGCTGGCGACTCAGACATGGACAGTAGCTGCCACAACGGGACCACCAAAATGCTAGCGACTGCTCCAGCCCGGGGCACCGTGATGAGCACATCCAAACCCTTGGCTTTCTCCATCGAACGAATCATGGCGCGCACCCCAGAACCCAAGGCCCTGCCGGTCCCCCACTTCCTGCAGGGAGCCGTACCCAAGGGGGACCCCAAGCACTCTCTGCATCTCAACTCGTCGATCCCCTGCATGATTCCCTTCGTTCCCGTGGCTTATGACACGAGTTCCAAAGCGGGAGTGACCGGCTCTGAACCGCGAAAGGCAAGTCTGGAGGCCCCAGCGGCTCCTGCAGTGGCGCCCTCCGCGCCGGCGTTCAGCTGCAGCGACCTGCTCAACTGCGCGCTGAGTCTCAAGGGCGACCTGGCCCGAGACGCGCTGCCTTTGCAGCAGTATAAGCTGGTAAGGCCGCGTGTGGTCAACCACTCTTCGTTCCACGCCATGGGCGCTCTGTGCTACCTGAACCGAGGTGACGGCCCGTGCCACCCCGCTGCGGGTGTGAACATCCACCCGGTGGCCTCCTACTTTCTCAGTTCACCTTTGCACCCGCAGCCCAAAACATATTTAGCCGAAAGGAATAAACTGGTGGTCCCGGCGGTGGAAAAGTACCCTTCTGGAGTGGCTTTCAAAGACCTGTCGCAGGCTCAGCTGCAGCATTACATGAAAGAAAGCGCCCAACTTTTGTCGGAAAAAATCGCATTCAAAACCTCCGACTTCAGTCGCGGCTCTCCTAATGCCAAACCCAAAGTTTTCACTTGCGAAGTCTGTGGAAAGGCAAGTATTTTACAAAAAAATATTTTCCTCCCTTTCTACCTACCGTCCTTTCCTCCTTCCTCCCTTTCCTCTTTCATTCCTTTTCAATGTGTGGAAGGTAATTATATAAACTTGTTATGCTTCCTTCCTTCTGTTCTCTTTCATTTCAAATCGCTTGTTCAACTAACCTGTTCTACATGTGTTTAATTTTAAGGTCTTTAACGCGCACTATAACTTAACCCGTCATATGCCGGTGCACACAGGAGCCAGACCCTTCGTTTGCAAAGTGTGCGGGAAAGGTTTCCGGCAAGCCAGCACCCTTTGCAGACACAAGATCATTCACACGCAGGTGTGTTCATCTGTCACAGTTTTACCCGGTAGACTTTGGAACTGTTTGTGGAAAACTGGTCTACACAGCCTAATTCTTCAGCATTAGATCTTTGTAAAGGAGCTAGATAGACCTAGGGAGGTGCTTTCTATAGTTTGCCTTTGTTCTGTTTAAAAGCGTATTACAATGTTTTGTACAGAATTCCACATCACAATATAAACTGCCTTAAATTTTCTCTTTTTTTTTTCTCCCTCTCTGCTGCTTAGGAAAAACCTCATAAATGCAACCAGTGCGGCAAAGCATTTAACAGAAGTTCCACTTTAAACACACATACCCGAATACACGCTGGCTACAAACCTTTCGTGTGTGAATTCTGTGGCAAAGGATTTCATCAAAAAGGTATTGACTCGGGAGTTGTCTTCTCCCATGACCGTCTCAGAAAAGCCATACTGAATCTTCTCGGGATATTTTTAAAAATGGTTTAAAAGGTGCAATTACTTAATTGCAGTATGGGTTCACATTCTAGCTACCTACCCTCAAGCCTGACCAGTGTTAGAGAGACATGATTGATAGACCAAAGGGGTGCTTCTTTGCAACCCCTGTTTCAATTTTGTATAATGGAATTAATGAGTGTGTATTAAGATGTAGAGGAAAGAGACTCAGTTTGTGTTTAAAAATAAATTAGGGGGAACCAGCACCCAGCACCCTGGGTGGGAACTCTGCTGGCTCCTGTCTGCTTCCCTACTTTTTAGTATCTCCCCTATCCTTTCCAAGCTCTTCTTAGAACGTCATCTCAGCCATTTTTCTGTTTCAGGGAATTACAAAAACCACAAGTTGACCCACAATGGGGAGAAGCAGTTCAAGTGCAATATCTGCAACAAGGCTTTCCACCAGGTTTACAACCTCACCTTCCACATGCACACCCACAACGATAAGAAGCCTTTCACCTGCCCCACGTGTGGCAAGGGCTTCTGCAGGAACTTTGACCTCAAGAAGCACGTCCGCAAGCTGCACGACAGCAGCCTCGGGCTGACTCGCACGTCCCCTGGGGAACCAGGCAGCGACCCGCCGCCCCCACTACAGCAGCCACCGCCTGCAACTCTGCCGCCCCTGCCGCCCACCTTGCCGCCTCCTGGGTCTCTGCAGCCGGGGCTCCACCAAGGTCACCAGTGATGGAGGCCAAAGTTCCTCCCAGTCTGAGCTGGGAGCCCCCACTACAGAGGCAGGCAGACAAGACCTGGACCTCCTGGTCCAAGCCTCATCCACAAGACATAGGGCGCGTTGGGCCCCCATTCTTTAAGGCAGATGAGAAGCCTCTGCATTCCTTCGTCTTTTGCCTCTTGCATGCACCTGCTAAATGGTTTTGTGTATTATATTCTATATAGGCACTAACAATTAAGAGAAATTTGGAGGGGCTTATTTCATTCTTTTTAAGTTGAAAAGACTGTTCATCTCCAGTGGAGAGATGGTGTTTGTTCTGTTTTTGTTTTTGTTTTTTTTTTAAACTAGTTTCTGCTGTATTTATTGAGATCTGTATTATTCTACTGGGAACGCTGCATCGTTTTAATTTTATTGTTGTATATATTTCCATTGTGTCCATTCTACTGTCTCAAGATGCCTGCTGATTGTTTATAATTTTCTCCTCCCCTGAAGCAATGAAACACTGTGTGTATGTTATATATATATACACACAGAGGAGTGTGTGCCCCTGAAGGCACATTCAACATTTGTGAACACACACATGCACACATACACATATACACATTAGATAAGGGTGGTTCATTATGAATGAATTTGAATTTTGGTTTTGATTCTTGCACGTGAAAGTTGATTCATTGACTGTTGGAAATAAATTCTTGGAACATGCTTATTAATCAACAAAGTTTAGGGCTCTGTCTGTATTATTCAGCTAAACATCTCTGGTTCTGACCTCCTTGTTTTTAAAAAGTTCAACTTTAGATTAGATACTTAATGATCCGATCTAAACATTTTTCAAATGCAAGTAGTCTCTCCAAATAGCTTTGAACAAGATCATAAAATTTGGTTAAGCCAGAGACAGAAGATGTGTGTGTGTGTGTGTGTGTGTGTGTGTGTGTGTGTGTGTGTTCCATGTTTCCTTCTCGACTGGAAGTATATTTGTAAATATGTATACACATATAAACACATGAAGCCTCTCTTTGCCAGCTGTGTGTGTGTGTGTGTCTCACAGAAACATGACTTTGGCTTGGGGCTTCAGATAAATTCATGGAGCACAACATGAGGACATTCTGTTTAGGAGTTGTGTTATATCCATTTTCACCAAAGTTTTACAATAATAGCAGGTAGGGGGAAAGTATTGTTTGCCTCCTGAAGATACATATGGATGTGTGCACAGTTGGCAGAAAGCCTCCGTGTTTTTATATGTGTATACATGTTTACAGACGAATATACTTCCATTCAAGGAGGAAACGTGGATGAAAACCAAGCTGTGGCGGCTGCCAGGTCCTTGAAACGCTTCAAGTGTTAATCAGCAGTTCCGCTGTGAGCGCGGGCTCTGGTGTTTTCTAACTGCAAGTCTCTCCTGTTTTCTTGCCAAAACAGTGAAACAACTGCTAAAGACTTTAATTAAGAGGGGTAATTAGTTCAGATTTCTCAAAGCCGGGTTGTTATACTATTAGCTGCTCAGTAGAAGCTGCCAGACAAACTCACAGCCCAGCACAGTAGTCCTGCTGCAGTGGCCACATTCTGGTTGTGAGGCTGCTGGGGAGGGGAGTGGGCAGCAAGGCAGTCGCAGTCCATGTAACCCCTTCTGGCCCGGGTCACCACTGCCAGCTTTGTGGGTGGGTCCCGGTCTCTCTGTCGATCCAGCCTGGGCTGTGTGCCGCAGCATCCACCGCGGATCCATACCGCCAGCTCAGGTTCCTGAGAACCCAAGTACTTTCTGGTGAAAAGCGGCTTTGGCAGTTCAGAATCACCGGACAGTCCCTGGGTAGCAGTCGTACCTCACTTTTGTGGGTCTTGCCTCACCCAAGGAAAGCTGGCAGAGTGAAGCAACAGGCCCGGGGCAGGTGGGAGATGAACAGGAAGTACTGCAGGAACTCGGAAGCAACTTTCTAGGTAACAGGAATTCCCACTTCAAGGCCAGGAAGGGTGGACCGTTCTGGGAGCCCAGAGTGGGATAGGAGGCAGGAAACTGACAAAGGCGCCCAGGGAGATTGGGGAGGAGGAGGTGTTGGAATCCCCTTGATACCTCACGCTCCTCCAATAATGCCTTGTTTGACTGGAGAGTGTTGGACAGAGGCTCAGAGGGCAAGGTGTCAATGTCCAGTGCCCTTTTCTAGGGCTTGCCCCAGCGGCCATGTCCAAAACCCGGGTGCAAAAGGATGAGTCAAGGTCATAAGAACAAACCAGTACGTTTACTTTATCCTCATCTTTTCTCAGGCCCACTTTGTCCTTTGAGAAACCCATGTTAGACCTGAGTTCCAAAAGAAACTGAGAGCTTGGGAACTCCAGTGTTGGATAGATTCTGAATTTGTGTGGTTAACATGTGCCCTGGTGTCTCTCTGAGTAAGGTATCTGGACTTGATCTTGTTCCAGGAGCTGACCACATTCCCCTATAGCTGCCAGTGCAGCAGAGGGATTACTGAGAAATGTCTCCTAGGTGACGGGCAACTGCCTTTTCAAAGTGGCTTCATTAGATCTTGAAAGCAATTGTTTTCTTTGAGGATGAAGAATGAGATCAAGGGTCATTATAACTTGCAATGTATATATTTAAGTTCAAGGGTAGAATATGGTCTTTTCTTCTTGAATTTACTGTCAATTAGTATTAGAACTTATTCTGAAAACAGGGTGTAATGTCCTCTAGACATTCAAGGTGACTTCATTGTACTGTGTGGAAAACAAAATGGACATTGTTAAGGAAAATAACTAAACTATAGAATTCTAGTTAGGTATTTATATGTGACATTTCCATCTCCTAACCCATGCCAATGTGCTTTGAGCTTATGAATAAAGACATTTTCATAGAAGAAATGAATTGGTGTGTAGTGATGTAGAAAGGAGAGGAGAGGAGAGGAGAAGGGACAGAGAGAGAGAGAGAGAGAGAGAGAGAGAGAGAGAGGTTCTTTTAAATAGGGGGACCTGCCATTGTAGCCTAGAATGACCATGTAAGGCCGGATTCTGATGCTGCTGTCATTTTAATGAAGGTTCCTGGGAGGAAATGGCTGTCTGTCAGCTAACAGGTTTGAGGAGCCTGGAGTGCCGGTGATTACACAGAGGAGGCCAAAAGGAAATTCTCTAAAACTAAACACTCAAGAGAACCACTTGTCAGGAGATCAATGAACTTTGATTTATGACAAAGCTCTCAGAGCTTGCTATACTCAAGGAGTATCCCCTTAAAGACAGTATGAGCTCAGGGATTAAGTTTATGGGGGGAAAATTGGTAAAGTGGGATACTTAACTGATAGTCAATGGAAGACCTTACAATTCTCCCTCTCTGGCAAATACTGAAAGGAAACTTTTATTCCTTGACTATCTACTCTCTATTTGGGTGTGCTGACATAGATTTGTAATGCTTACTTATAAAACACACCCTAAAACTTATGTACAGCAAAATTGGACTTTGTTGAAATCCATCTTCATTTGGCTAGAACAGCCAGCAAATTTTTTCATGTTTACTGAGGGCCTGAGGTCAGTGTCTAGATTATGTTCTAGGGAATGGCTTATCTTCACCTATTTGGTTCAGAGGAAGATGGCTCTGGGGATGGTTTTAGAAAGTTGTGACCTAATGAAGACAAATATTTCAGTTCAGTTTTTGGAAATCAAAATATTATAAAACAGAATTAACAATGAAAGTCGTTAACTCCTACCTATTTAACACAGAACTCAAATTCAGATTTCTAGCAACTTCTTCTTAAATGTAATTTGTTCAGGTTTCCAAAAACCTTAGTTTAAAGACAAAGTGTTCCACAAAACTAGGACTGAGTTGTCATATTTTGGTAGAAAATAAAGATATTGCCTAAGAGCCTTTCAAAGAAGTTGCTTGTTAGTGAGATTTGAAGCTTAATTAATTTCTTATAGATCTTTGTTTTTTTCCAAATGTAGAAAAAACTAATATACAAAATTTAGTAGAGCCTTAATTCCCAGAATCTTTGCATCCTGTTTAATAGATTCTCTCCTCACGTTAGTGCCAGTTATTCATGCCCGACAGCTTAATTTTGCTAGAACTGGTGACAATTTAAAAAATCTGTCTAGGGAAGTTTCCTTATGCACCAGATGGTGATTAACACAAAAACCCACAACTGGCCAAGAAAGAACAGGGGCTGCAGAGCTCTTACCCCTGAATAGGACACCTAGATCAAACTGCTGCCCTCACAGCTCAGGGATCATTGTGGAAGAGGAAAGGGGGAATATTTTAAGAGCCAGAGGTGGTAAATGACCACAAGGGAACAGTTTCCCAGACAGCTAGTCAGTTATTCATATGTACTCACAACAATAGTGACAGCATGCACAAGTCCCATGCAAGCTCAAACCCCTTGTCCTGCCCCCTCCCCAAAATCTCTGCATAGACATGAAAAAGTGGGTAAGAACCTCCAATCCCACCTAAGGAAACTATGTCAACAGATGGCTGTTGGAACAGGCAGAGACAGTCTCGTTCAAGCATGGGACTCTTGGTAGGTTAACCAAGTTCCAGTGCATGGACCCATACGGAAGGGCACTTGGGGACAAAAATTAAGGTCTATCAGCCATATATATATATGCTAAATTGAGTATGGGACAGTAATGGAAGGTGGAGATAGGGGAGGGAATCTAAGTACCATCAAATTATGCTGTATGAATGTCACAAAAATTCATTTAAAAAGAAAAGGAAAGAGCAAAACCAAAAGCACACACACACAAAGTGTATAAATAAATTTTTGGCACAGTAATGGCAAATGAGAATAATGCCTTATTCTTGCCAAAACATGCTGTGGGCTGCAGAAATACAGTGCCATGGTTTAAATATTTAAGGTCTGTGTACAACAGGAATATACAGTGTATGTAATATGCACCTATATATATGTGCATAAGCATATAAAGATAATGAATACATGTTTATTTTAAATTATTAACAATTATTGAATTTACATGATAGGCGTATGAGTGTTTCCTACCTCAATTTTTTTTGTATATTAAAATTGTATAATGAACATTTAAATGCAAGTAAAAGCTGTCTAGAATATAATTGTAGTGGGCATATTCTGTGTTTGTAAAAATAACACAAAACATGCAATTATAAGCTATAAATTATCTTAAATTCAAAATTTGGACAGAAAAAAGTTTCTTTATCACTTTATAATCTCTTGACCTGGGTAAATCTTTGTTATTCATGAGATTTATTCAAAGGGAGGGTGACTTGTTCTATTTCCATAGTGCATTGTAAAGAGCATGAAAATTAAAATGAAAATTCTAATGAATAAAAAATAGAAATCTGGGGACTGGAGAATTGGCTCAGTGGTTAAGAGCACTGGCTGCTCTTGCAGAGGACCTGGGTTCTTACCAGCACCCACATGGTGGCTAACAACTGTCTAGTTCCAGGGGATCCAACACCCTCTTCTGTCCTCCCAGGGAATTGAATGACACAGGTATACTTACACACATGAAGGCAATACACTCACATACAAAGAATAAAAATAAAAAAAATTTTTTAAAAGAGAATTGTGAACTCAATAAATCATTGACTTCTTTTTTGCTATGTTTTGCTAAAATGAGATTGCTTTCACACAAGAAGTCATATGGTTTTATTAGTGCAATCAAAAATTGGAAAGTACAGTATTTGTACTTAAGTAATAATGAATTGTACTGCTTTTACAAATTAATGCATATGGTCATTCTGGTTCCAAAGCAAAGCAAAAACATGT